ATATTTGTATAGCCATTATATATATATATATATATATATTCCTATATATTCCTATATCTACATGACTATCTATTTCTAATTAAATATCTATCCATCCATACATGCAACCACGCAACCAACCTCCCATCGTCGTATCTCTCTATACTTATCTACCCATCTATTTATTTGTATATCAAACAGTGCATAGATTGATATATTTGGTACGGAACTGGAACTTTTCGGACCTACCTGTTAGTATCATAATTTGCTGCTACTTCAAATCCTTCGTCACTGTCCTCCGTGCTCGCACCTGCGCCATTCTGTATGACATCATTTGAGAAAGTGACTAGTGGCCACTTATTGTCAGCTTCATTGGCTTCAATGTAACCATTATTGTTTTTTGGACGTGTGAGTATGTTGCCAGCTTCCACCATGCGACAAACCATAAGCGCAACGAGCAGGTAGACAACCACCAGTCTGAGTCGCACCGCAGTATAGAATTGAGGTGACATTATCAGTAAAGAATAAAGTAATACTAGTAATAATTGTCACTATTGGTGCTGTTCATTTATATACAATTTAGAAAAATAATAATACTATTTGAACTATTTACATAACAATACCTTTATAAATAACTAATAAATGATGTCATTATATGACGAACAAACAGCATTTTTGAGCTTTTAGATAAAAATAGCTCTTTAATTTCAGTTTTTCACAGCCACTGAGCGTCTGATCCGCATATAAAATGTTGAACATGTAGGGCCTAGGGCGTAGGGCGTAGGGCGTAGGGGCGTAGCTATGTACTTTCTTTTTTATCAAAAAGAGGCGATGCTTTTGCTTTTTATTTTTATTTGTTTTTACAAAAATATAACAATTGAAAAAACAATTATGTACATGTCACATGATGACACACAAATTGTCAACTGTTTTATTTTTAAAAAAAATAGTAAATTGTAGGCTATGGCTCACCGCTCAACTCTGTCAAGCATTCAAAATTGGTTTTGAGGTTTTTTATATATGAAAAAAGGAATTTGAATATGTATGTCATAGCCTTGTTTATTAAGTTTGCTGTATGTTTTATTTATACAAAGATTTCCGCTCAAGACCCTATAGGAACTGTGAACAAATATGTCACCAGACCAGTCATCTATGTTCACAATTACAACACGTACAAGAAAGTTGTTTTTTACAAGCCGTGTGCACTAACTCTGACTATCCTGACATCTACTTTGCAAATCAAATACGACATTGGCACAGTTTAGAGCAGAGCTGGGATTTCACAATAAGTACTGGTCATGCATCTTTTCTGGTAGCTTTATCAGTCAGCAGTTTGGTTCTAGGATGATATTTTCTTCTTTTTATTTTGTGAACTTCGAGTATCATCTCAGGTGCCCCACAGAATACCTTAGAGGAAAAAAGCGGAGGTGGTTGCACTTGTTTTGTCCTATAGCAGCATTTTCGAGAAATATGGCAGTCTTGTGTTCTGATATAGCATCATTTTCGAGAAACTATGGCTGTCTGTTTTCTATAGTGTCATTTTCAATAAAAAAAAGCATTGCCTTCTAAATTGAACAAAAAAAGTCTACTTCTATATCCTCATTTTCGATAAATGTCTAGGACTTTCGGCACAAGTTTATTTCATATTCGCGCAAGAACTTCTTGTATGTGCACTGATGACTGGATGGTTATTAATTTTACGAAACTAAGTGGGGCATTTTGGCTGCAAACCAGTGTGGGATATCCAGTCAGTAGTGAGAACCACCATTTAGTCCCACGCACCCAGAAGCAGCGAGATTAAATAATTACTATTGTCACGGTGAGCGTGTCGGATGGCATTTGAAACAAATAGTTGCTCTTATGATTCAAAAATCAATTATGGTATCTATTGGCAGTTTTGCAAAACAAATATTCATCTTCATTGGGATGAATGTGCTGCTCTATATACATGATTCTCTGGTATTGTCTCAGAATTAATTTGTCCCGAAGAGGATCTATGCTTATTCCGGCGACACGACTTACAGTGATGTATCCATGTAACCTACGACTTACAGTGATGTATCCATGTAATCTACGACTTATAGTGATGTATCCATGTAACCTACGACATACAGTGATGTATCCATGTAGCATGTAGCCTACGACATACAGTGATGTATCTATGCAACCTAAGTTCTTGCGGTGATGGAATTCAAAAAAAAATGCGGGCTGTGAGCGAAACTTATGAACTGTATTATCCCCAATAAGCTGATAAAGAAAATGCTACTTTAAACTGAGACCAATTCAACAGAGAATATCCTGTACTAGAACGCCGTCACAGTGTTCCTTGGGTTGGCAATGTTGCACCGAATGATACTGTGTTTCCTGGCTAAGAGCTTCACGGTCTCGATACTAGTAGTTCAAGGCGGCTAAACTTCTCGAGGTGGCTGCTGGTATATCAGCAGCACATTGGTGATTAAAATTTGGCGAGTCAGCCATAGACTTGAATTTGATGCGGTTGTCCACAGACATCACAAGAAAGTTGCCGTCTGGGAACAGGACTCCATAAGCTCCTGCTCCAAAGATTCCTCCGTTCCAAACTGGCCGTTTGCCACCGCCCTTTGGTTCCATAGCGTACGTGATTAATTCTCCGTCGAAGGTGATAGTAAGTTTACAACCGTATGGACACTTGCTCTTCCATTGAGCTTCGTAAATAGTTGTATTATCGCTCGCAATGACCATGTCCTTGCCGACTGTGAGCGTTGTATTGCACGGAGCGACTAATATCTTGGCAGCAGAGCAGCTGTGACCAGACGCCAACACGGCATCTGGGAAGTTTGTTACGTACGTGGTGAGCATAGTTGTCGCCACAGCCACGTCCTCAGAAACACCTTGCACTCCCAAGGATACATCAAATTGTGACGTCGTGACATCAGGTACGGTATCTCCTAGAAGCGCCACGCTTCCAGCCGACGCGTCAGAAGCTACATCCCCTGTGGCAGAGCCCACACTAGATACTCCTTGGCCACCTCCAACACTGACACCACCTTCCTGTCTTGCATCAGATTCATCGATTGAAATGTCTTGTGATGAAACAACCCCCTCAGTAGTCCCGCTAACAATACCACTATACAGATCAGTGGTTGTATCATAAGTTGTATAAGTATCATAAGTTGTATACGTATCATAATTTGTATAAGGATCATAATATGTATACGGGTCATAAGTTGTGTACACATTAGTATAATCAAACCCATAAGGATTGGATGTATCTTGTCTGCGCGCTCGTGTACTTTTTCTTGAGAATATTCGTGATTTCCCGTCCTGGATTCGGGCAGGGGTTTTGAGGCCGAGTCTGTGCGGCGCTGTGTTTCTGTACTTTGTTCGCAAACTCGTATTCTCTACTGTCTTCACTTCCCCTATCACCCCGGAGGTGAGCGCCAACACAGCAAAAAGTGTGTTTGATTTCATAGTGGTCGATATTGTGTTCTGATGTTTACTTACTAGGTATATGTACTTCTATAATAGCTATGTTTTTATGCTCATATGATGTATTTATATATATATATATATATATATTTAGTAGACACACATATATATACATATATATATATATATATATATATATATATATTAGTAGACGCACACACTATATATATATATATATATATATATATAGTANACACAACACACACAC